ATTGAATGTTTTTATTGTTTTTCAACAAAAATTAGAATTACAAAATTGTAAATTATATTATTTTTAAAATTGCTAATTTTATTTTAAATAGTATAAGTAAGAAGTTAGCCGCGAACTTTAGCAAGCGAATTTTTGCTAGTAATAATAATAATATGAATAATAATAATAATAGTAATTTTTTTTTAATTTATTGAAGGAGACCAAGAAAAAATTTCACATAATAGGTAGTAATAATATAAAATATATTGAATATAAACTTTACACTATATATAAACTTTTTTACTTTCTTTATAAGTAAAAAAACTTTGATAAAATGCCCTCATTATAACGCGATAGGAAAATTCTGATTGAAATTGCCATTGAAAAGTAAGATTAAAAAATATATGTATATATATAGTAATGTTCTTTAGAAACTATATATACATATAAAGTGTGCGGAAAATCTTTTGAAGGAATATATAACTGAAAAGACAGGGAATGAAAAATAAGAGCCTAATGTAATTTGAAATATGAGGAAAGTATATATAAGTTTTTTGCAAAAAAAGAAGGAAAAAAAAGAGAAAAAAAAGAAGAAAAAAAGTCAGAAAAAAACTCTATAAAGACGACGATGTATATCTCGCGGACCAGTTCACCTAGATTTTCGAGAAAAGAAAACAGGATTCTCATCAAAACTGTTTATGTATAGAAATATATATGTATCCACCATAAGCAAAAATATACGTATGTATTTGCATTTATATATATATATATATACAGACACATGGGCAAAAGTACGCGATCGGTAATAATGATTATTCATGAATAACGAAAGCAGTATCCGTTTGTAGATTTATAATGAATTAGAAGTGTAAACATGTATATTAAATGCATCAACTAACTTTCTATGTATGTACATATGGTTCATTGCAAAAAAAAGATCGCAAATTGCAATCAGAAAGCAATTAAATTTCTTCTTTTTTTTCACTTGCGTTAATATTTATTAAAATTATTAATATATCGTTAAGAACTTTCCTACGATTTGAAAATTGAAAGCGAACCACTTGCATATTTTAATGGGCAATTGTGAATAAAAAACAACTTTGAAAGAAACTGGAACTATTTGGGGGAAAAGAAATTTATTAGTTATTGTTAAAAAAATTGAAAGTATTAAAAAAATTGAAATTTTCAAGGACTCGACTCTGAAGAAAGACACGCTCTGAAGAAAGGTACAGAAGAAAGAAGCATAACAAATTTTAGGTTATTTTTCTAATTTTTGAAGAAAAAATACAAAAAGAGAGTCAATTATTATTAAAAGTTATTCAACTGCCATTCCAAATAATTCAAATCCAATAATCAAAATCCTAATAATTCAATAAAATATTAAAATCAGGTTTCTAATTTACCTAAATAAAAATTAATTTTTAATCCAAATTTTAAGACAAACCTAACCTCTAATTCGTTTACTTCTTAGGTACCTTTCCTAGGAGCGCGTCACTTCAATTCTTTTTATTTTCTATTCTCTTTATTACAAATTTCCTTAAATTTTCAAAAAAGTTTAAATAAACTTTCAATTTTTTGTTATCCTTAAAAAAAAAAAAAATTTTAACTTACGTAGCTTTAAAGTGAAAATTTACTCTGTAGAAAAAAATTTTTTCTACAACAAAATTTATTTTACATTAAAAAAATTAATTCTTAACAAAGAAAATATTTAGTTTAGATTATTTTTCATTTCAATATAGTTTTCGAAAATATTTAAATAAAAGGAAAACAATTTCGTTGAATTCAATTTGATTTTCGTCAAAACTTTTAGGAAAATTAGAAATAATTTAATGATAATCTTCCTAAAGTTTTGAACGTGTAAATAAACGAAATATTTTTTTTGTGTATCAATATTTTATTAAAAAATACTAGATTAAAATGAAAAATATAGTAATTGAACACATTTATTTGTTTAAATATTATTTTTTTCAATTCTAGAAAACAGTATTTTAAAAAGACAGGTGAAAAAAATAATTTATTTGAATCAAATATAACCGATTAGTTGTCTATTATCAAATAAATATTTACTTGAATCAAATAATTTTTATTTAAATCAAATAAATTATATAATTGAGACAATAATTTTAGCATTTGAACCAATTATTTAAGCATTTGAGACAATAATTTTTTAGCATTTGAATCAATTAATTAAGCATTTGAACCAATAATTTAAGCTGCATTTGAATAAATAATTTAAGTACATTTGATTTTGAAAAAAATACCATTTAATTAACTTAATTAAAAAATTTTTCATAATCAAATAGAATTTAATTAAATGAAGTAATTTTTGTTATTTCAGAATTTTATTTTCATTTAGAAATAAAAAAATTGTAACTGGAAAATCGAATTTATAAATAAAAAATAAAATTGAAATTGAAAAATAGTCTTTACTAACAAAAAATAAAATAATAGAATTTCTCAAATTAATGTGATACAAAATGGCAAAATTAAAATTGGAAATTTTTTTTGGAAATGAATTAATAATATTGTACTAAGTGTTTTCGATAATTTGTCTATAATTACAAAAATACATGAGAGAAAATTAATTTTTAATAATAAAAGTTTTGCAATTTGTTATAGAGTGCCTTTCGTACGTACAACGATAATAAAAGAAAGTATAAATGAATTGTCTGACTAAAAAGAGTCATTTCTACTGTTTGTGAGAATTAACATAGACAAGAACTTTTCGAGGCTTTAAATAAGTTTTCTTATCAGTCGAGAGAGAAAAAAAAAGGATTCACTGCAAGTTTATTGAAAAAGAAACCTTGCATTCGAAAGGATCGAACTCTATAAGATATAATAAACTTGAAGTTCATGAGATAAGATGTCAAAGTAATTTACCGAATGGAAATTTTATTAACCTTTAAAGTGCTATGCCGGTCTGACAGACCGCTATTAAAATTTTCTTTGCTTGTAACTTTTTTTCAAAGTATAATAAGAACTTGAACTTTTTAGTAGCTTCATATTTTATGAAAATCTGTTAGGAGACAACTTTTTCAAAAATTTTTATTCGTTAAATTTTGTAATATAAATAAATATTTGAAGTATAGCGGTCTGTGAGACCGGGGTTAGCTTTAAGTGAAAGTATATTCCAGTATATTCCCATGAGTGACGTCTGCGCAACTTGACGCGCAGCTAGTTCTACTGACAGTTCTCATAGACTGCATTTATAAAATAAATAAAATAAATAAATGCATAATACAGAAATGACTTTTTTTGTTAAAAAGTAAAAAATATTTATAATAGTTGTCTTTTAAAAATTATAAATGACTAAAAAACTGTCAAAAGGGAATAGCGGTCTGACAGACCGGGGTTAGCACTGAGCGTGATTTTTCAACACTTAGCACTTGAAAGGTTAAGACGAATTCCACAATATCAATTTTTTTTTTGCTGCACGTTGTATTAAATATTTTATTTTATAATAAAATATTTTTTTTAATCGAATGTAATATAATATAATTTTATGTTTTTAATTTGTTTCTTATTTTTAAATTTTATTTTAAAAAGAATTTTTATTTTTTTCTTTTCATCACAATTTTTCTAAGGATAATAGAGTATTTTAAATTGAGACAAAATACGAATCAAAAGTGTTGCGAAGTGTCAAGTGTTTTTGTCTCAATTTGATATCCGCAGAGAAAAACTGTGAGAGTAAAGAAATTCATTTTCATACATAATTAGAGACAAATTATTTTTATTAAATTTATTTATTTATAGAGATCTAATCCAATTGACTTATAGACCGATACATTATTTAAATTAGAATAATTATTAACATTAAAATTTCTTTTTTAGTCGTAGATTATAATTTTTAATATAATATAATTTTGTTACTATATTATTTTCAATTTTTTATTTTCTATTTTGTTTAAAATTAATTAAATAATTTAATAATAGTTATATCATATTTAATAGTATCAAAGGGTTCATCATTCATTTTTGCTTCCAAATAAATAAATAAATAAAATAATATTTTATAGTAATAAAATACTAAATAATACAATAATTAATTTTATTTTTAAGTAAAAATTAAAATTTTTAATTAAAAAAATTCTATCAAGACTTTACTAAAACTGAATTATTTTTAACTTAATTCAAATAGAGAGAGTATAATATATCTATTAATTAAATTATTTTCAATTTTATTTTTATATATATTCAAAAAAATTAATTGTGCATAAATTATTCTTTGAATTTAAATACAAAAATATATTTTTAAATTTAGACTTTTTTTGGTGATTGTATAATATAATTTATTGAAATAAATTTTTTTTCTTTCTTTCAAAAAATCAATTTTTAGATTTCGAGTAATAAAATTAAAAATTATTTCCTTTATTTTTATTTATTCAAAAACAAATTTTTTCTATTTTCATACTTATATTTAAATATTCTTAATTGTGTATAAATTATTACTTGAATTAAAAGATAAAAATATATTTTTTAATTTAGAATAGTTTTTTTTGGGTAATATTTTTGGTGATTTTATATAATTTATTGAATTAAATTATTGTTTCAAATAATTATTTTCATGTTTTTGAACTTCTGAACTTTCAAATGAACGAGTTTTTTCGTTCCCTTTTCTAATATTTGCATTTTGGTACAAAATATTAATTTACACATTAAAAGAAGAATTATTTACTTAATAAATGCTAAATTAACTTTTTATTTCTCATTAAAATACAATAATTTTTGAAAATATGAAAAAAAGGGGAATAATTTTCGTTCATATGAACGTTCAAAACTTTAGGAACATTTATTTTTAAGTAGTAATTAAAAATTTATTGAATTAAATTTTTCTGTTTTTTGAGTTATTTTAAAGTTTAGAGTAACACAATGAACAAATTTATTTTTATATTTATTTATTTTAAAAAGAAATTAATTGGGGGGGGGTTTAGAGGGGGAGAGGGATTTTTTTGAATTTAAAAATTTATTTAAAAATTCTTTGAAATAATTTTGATATCTTGAAAGAATGAAAATAAACTTACCTTCATGATTCGGTGATAAAATTAGAAGTAATTTTTTGTTCTCTTTTGAAATTCGTTATCCGGATATGTTTTGGAATCTCGCACACTAATGGAAAAACCGGAAGACGGGCAAAAACGCGTTACTTGAATATATCTACTATATAGCCTATGAAGATTGACCGGTAAGGAAGCACTGACTGTTCTGCACGCAATTAGGTCATTGTCCTTCATTTATACTCTCGACTGGGGAATGTTGGTATGTATCTTTCAAGTCCGAAGCAATGCCTCCTACCTTGTATACATATAAACCATTTACCTATTCAATGGTTCCGAAAAAAATACACATACATATATACACAAAAAATGACAAACAGTTCATAGAGAAAGGTTTTTATTCACCATCTGTGGTTTTTTTTAATGTATTTACGTTTATACGTTTAATGAATATACAATGAGCATTTTATGTACATCCAGAGAAAAATATTATTTAAACCAAATATATTTTTATTTTCGAGTTAAATAAACTTATATTTGTCTCAGAACCAACTAGAATTTTTATTTGTTTTAAATAAAAATTTTATTCGACATAAATAAAACATATATTTGAGCCAAATAAAATTTATTTCAGCCAAATAAAATTTATTTGAAACAAATAAAAAGTCTAATTGGTTCTGAGACAAATATACCATTTCTTTGGTCTTTTTGGTGATTCCACAGAATTAAATTTTTATTTTAATAACAATAGAACAAAACAATTTTTTTGAGATTTTTTTTTGTCAAAAACGTTCACTGAGAAAACAATATATTTGAATCAAACATAATTATCTTTATTATACAGTCGACCAAAAATTATTTTTGAATTAAACATAATAATTTTGAATCAATACATCGAGAGAAAAATTTTATTTAAATAAAATATTAATATTATTTAATCAAATATAATTTCTTTGAGTTAATTAAAAGTATATTTGTTTCAGAGTCAACTAGGTTATTTATTTGTTTTAAATAAAAAAATTTTATTAGTCATAAATAAAACTTTTATTTTCGAACTAAGTAAAATTTTATTTAAAGTTAAACCGAATAAAATTTATTGGAAACAAATAAAATTTATTTGAAACAAATAAATAACCTAAAAATTGTTGAATTTTTTTTTTTTGGAGAGGGTCACATATGAACATTAATTCGCACAAAGAATCTTAAAAGCATAAGGAAATAATAATATCTTAATAAATTATTACTTTGTCTTAATGATTTCTCAAAAAAAAATAATAAAAATAAAAAATAATTCTCTGTCTAATGACAAAATAATCGCTTATAAAGACAGTGCCAAGGAAGTTGTTTAATCATTTATTATTCACATTATACTTTCTTTTATGTTTAGTCGCGCGATTTTCTTGAATTCATTTGCAGGTGCTCTCGTTTTTTTTCTTTATTTACTAATTATACATTTAACAATGTCTAACACTTCATTAAACTTTCCTTGCATATCATTAAAAATTTTTATCTTTATTCATTCATTCATTATTTTCACTTTCTGTAAAAATTTTTTTTTTCTTCATACTCTTGTCTCGCTGTTTTATGATAAATTGTTGTTATAAAAAATTGACCTTTCCAGGATATTAAGTTTTTTAATTTACTTATTCATTTTTGTTGTGCGAAAATTTTTTTTGTTGCCTTAATTGCTTTTATTATTATTATAATTATAATTATAATTATTATTATTATTTTTATTATTTTATTATTATTATTTTTTATTATTATTAGTATTAGTATTATAAAAATATTATTAACTGTTAGGAAATAAAGAAAAAAAATAACTGAAATCAACGAATTTTTTTGTTGAAATACTTTTTTGAATATTAATTGAAAATATGTATAAATTTAGCATTTACTTATAATATACTTCGGAATTAAATTTTTTTACAAGTTTTACAATTATTTCCCGCAGGATATTCAATAATTTTTATTCATTAATAATTTTGTTATTAATTCATTATTAATAAATGAATGAATGAATGAATGAATTTATTTAGTTATTTATTTATTTATTTATTTATAATAATAATAATAATAATAATAATAATAATAATAATAATAATAATAATAATAATATATTTTTTTTATTTGTCTTACGGACAAACGGAAATTTATTTATTACAAACAAATTTTATTTGCTACAATTAGAAATTATATTTCCGCCCAAAAATAATTGACTTGGGCCAAATAAAATTTTGATATTGAAAGTCGAGTTTAAAAAAATAAAAGGGTTAGTAGGCTGAGAGACAAATATACATTTATTTAACACAATTATATTATATTTGGTTCAAATGTAACATTTCTCTCCGCGAGAGTATATTTGTATAAAAAATACTTTCTTTTAATTTTAAAACAAATTCGAATTTTGAAATACTCTATTTATTTTATTTTTAAAAATTTATTTTCTATAAATAAAAAGTTAACAAAAGAATAAGTGAAGCAAGGAGGGAGGGATACTGCATGCATACACAAAAAATTTATTAATAATTAAATTCATTTAAAAAAAAAGTTGATTCGATAAAATTAAATTCAGAAGAAATTTCTTTTCGACCACCCATTAAAGGACAAAAAAAATTGGTTTGATAAATAATAATAATAATAATAATATATAAATGACGAAGAAGTGACTTATAAAAAATTGATATAAATCTTAGAGATAAAAATGACGAGACATTTCTTTTTTTCTCTCTTTCTTCATCATCAATATTTAACACGATGGCATGACAAAAAAGAATCATTGTATAGTTTGAAAGATTTATAATGAACAAGCACTTTAATCATCAAGTATATTAGGTGAATGGAAGGAAAGGAAGGAAAGAATACCCCAGAGTTTCAAGTTTTATATGAAAGCCTGATATCGACGCGCACTGTTCCTTTAAAGTCCGGTTGACCGACTTGACTTTTGTGAAACTTTCCGCTTAATCTCTGTAATTGATTTCATTTGCTCCAAGAAGGATCATTGATCCCAATAGTGATTTAATAGTACACATATTTTATATGGTTTCAATTCTTTTAACTTCAGTCATATGTAATTATTTTTATTATTTTATACCCTATATATCTCAATATCTAGACTATGTGGAAACATTTTTTATATTATTTGAGAAAATGTTCATATAGGATTATTACTTCTGTTTATAATGATTAGAAAATTACCTGAGTGTATTTTTATATTTTTTTTATTCTGTACTTTTTATATTTTTTATTCTGTGCTTTTTTATTTTTTTATTCTGTACTTTTTTTTATTTTTTTTTCATTTGTACCTTTTCAGGGTTGCCACAGGTCAGGGAAAGTAAAATTGGTCTGGGAAAAGTCAGGGATTTTTATAATTTAAGTAACTGGAAAAAATTTAATTTTGGAGAAGTTATACAAATGATTGCAGAAATTCAATTATTTTCAAAAGTAATAAAATTCTTCGCAAAAATTCAATTATCTTTAAAAATAATTAAATTCTTCTCCAAATTTCAATTATTTCCAAAAATTTTAATAAAATTCTCTGCAAAATTTCAATTATTTTCAAAAAATTTTTCTCAATTCAATGATTTTCAATATCTACGGTTTTAATAAAATTTTTCAAAAGAATTCAATTATTTAAAAAAAAAATTTTTGATAAAATTCTAAGCAAACCTTGCAATAATTCAATTACTTTCATAAATAATAACATTTTTTTTACAAAAATTCAATTATTTTCATGAATAATAAAATTCATCATGGAATTTCAATTATTTTTAATACAATTTTAATTGAATTACTCGAAAAATTTAATTATTCTTGAAAATTTTATTGGAATTTCTCGAAAAAAATTCAAATTTGTTGATAAAATTCTTTATGATAATTTAGTTTCGAAAAACATTCATTTATTCAATAAATTATTTATTTTTGTATTTAAATAATTGAATTCTTGTAGAATTTTCCAATAAAAATTGATTTAAAAATGAATATTATTTAAAATTTTTAGATAATAATTGAATATTAAAAGCATTATAGCATGAATTTTTAAAAATAATTGATAATTGAATTCTTTCGAAGAATTTGAATAAAATTGTTGAAAATAATTACATTTTTCGAAGAATTTACATAAAATTGTAGGTATTAAAAATAATTGAAATCCTGTGAAGAGAATTTTATTAATTTATGAAAGTAATTATTGAATTCTTGCAATGAATTTTTTCAAATTTTTTTTAAATAATTAAAATAATGTAAAGAATCTTATTATTTATGAAAATAATTGAATTCCTGCATCGAATTTTATTACATTTTTTTTTTAATAATTGAATTCTTTTGAGAACTTATATTAAAAAAGTAGATTGTGAAAATATTTGAATTTCAACGAAGAATTTAATTATATTCGTGAAATGTAATTAAATTCTTACGACAAATTTAAGAGATTAATTCTATTTTTCTAGGAATTCACTTTAAATTGTATTATAAATAATTGAAATCCTCGGAAAAATTTTATAATTTATGAAAATAATGGAATTCTTACAACGAATTTTATCAATTTTTTTTAAATAATTGAATTCATGTGAAAAATTTTATTACTTGTAAAAATAATTGAATTTATGCAACGAATTTTATTACATTTTATTTAAATAATTATATTCTTTTGAAAACTTGTATTATTATTTATTATTATTTCAGAAAAAATAATACTTCTAAATTCTATTAAACATTTCTTTCCTTCAATTATCAACATTTCAATGTATTCAATATATTTTTCGGATGAATACTAACAATTATTAGGGTAGGCGAACACTATTTTAAAAAAAAGTATTTTCTACACCTTTTTGTCTAAAAAGGCGATTTCTAATTAAATCTGTTTTCTGAAAAAAGTTTTTATAAAAATTTATAATTTCTAATATTTATTTTCCTAAAATTTCTAAAATTCCATAATTTTGATAAAAATTAGAAAATTGTTTAAAAATAAAGATTAAATTTTCTGTTTCTCAATTACAATTCTCTTTACAAAATTATAAGTTTCTTTTTGAAAATGAAGAAAAATTTTTATAAAATTACTATTTCTTATCACAATTTGTTAACAAAATTCTATTCTTCTTTGAAAAAAAATAATTTGCATCATTTTTACATTTAAATTTCCAAAGTTAATATATTTATAAAAAATTTTTTTAAAAAAATTTTAAATATCTTTAGGGAAAAAATCCCTATAATTTGTTAATTACGATTTTTAACTAGATTATTTAAAAATTTTGTTAAGTAATTTGCATAATTTCTATTTTTTATTATAATTTTTTAACGAAATATCAAGTATTTTTTTAAAGAATTAACAAATTTTCGTAAATTTTATTTTTTAATCATTTATGTACTTATTGATCGTGATTACAAAAATAGAATATTGTTAGAAAAAAGAAAAATTTTGAAAATTACCTTTATTAGAAAAATAAATTTTTAGAAAATTAGCTTTATTAGAAGACAGAAAATTTCAAAATCACCTTTATTAGAAAAAAGTTTTTTAGAAATTCACCTTTATTAGAAAAAAAAATTTTAGAAAATACGATTTAGAAAAACTGTACCCCAACCATTATTAGAAACATAAGAATGAAAATTAAAATATTTGCAGAAATTATAATTGAAATCTTTTGAGTTTGAATTTTATTACATTTATATGAGCTTAAAAAATGTTTGAGGGATTTCATGAGAAAATTACATGTATAAAAATTACATTTGAAACTTGAGTTGAGTAGAGGCATGTTTTTTCACTTGATAATTATATTTATTTTAATAACAGAAGCCATTAAAAAATCGCAAAAGAATCCAAGGCAAGAAAAGTAGTAATTTTGATTTTTCGAGGATTTTCTAAAAATCTCGGTATTTAAACTAAATTATAATTTCCACCCCTTGGAAGCAATTTTTTTCGTTTGCTAATTATTTATTTTAATGTTAGAAGTCATTAAAAAATTTTGCAAGAAGATCGAAGGCGGGGAAAGCAGTGATTTTAATTTATTTTATATTTTAGGATTTCTGAAAAATCCGTGACAAAAAATAAAAATCACTGCTTTCCCCGCCTTCGATCTTCTTGCAATTTTTTTAAATGGCTTCTGAGGCGTGAAAATGATAATATAGTTGAAATACCGAGATTTTTTAAAAAATCATAACTATTGTAAACATGCAAGAATATAAATTGAAATTATTAAATTTTTTCTGTGGAAAGCAGGTAGGCAGATTGCTACCGGGGCAATTCTTTAAATCATTAACGCGCGCGTAGGTCTTTGCTAGTAAAATTAAATATTTGTGGCAACCCTGCTTTTATATTTTTTTTATTTGTATCTTTCATATTTTTTTATTAGTACTTTTTATATTTTTTTGTTTTGTACTTTTCATATTTTTTTATTTTCCATTTTTACTGCATTTATTTTTACTTATACTGCGAAAAAAAGTCTATTTGATTCAAATAATCGATTACTTGCTCTGTTTTCAAATAAATATTTTACTTTTGAATCAAGTAATTTTATGTTCCCTGTGAATAAAATTAATTTATTCTTCAGTGAAATATTTTTATTATTTAAATTTTCTCATTTTTTTCTATCTTCTTCAAAATATTCTTAAGTTTTGAATTTTCATTTTATTACAATAATAAAAAATATTATATTCTTTAAAAATAAAACGGATAATAGTTTGGAAGGTTTGTTTCTCAAACAGAGGAAGGTTTGTTGAATGTTTTTTTATTATAAAATTCTGCTTGAGGCTTCATCTTCACTGGAATATATTGATAATTATTGGTTTTCTTTACATATAATAAAAATTTTAAATATTCTAGTAATAAAGAAAAGAAATTTTTTTAACTAAAAATATAATAATAATAATTGATAATAAACATGAATTATAATAATAAATAATTATAAATAGTAATAAATAGTAATAATAAATACAATAAAATATAAATGTTATTTTTATTGAAACATATTCAGAATAATTATTTATACAAGTTACTAATTGAAATAAAATTCTTTTAAATTTTTGTTGAAAACCAGTTACAATTACTTTACTGAAAAATTTTAACAATACACGAGATATAAACAAAAGAATGAGAAATTACAGAAAAGTAATGAATACATGTCAATTTGCAAAATTATTTAATCCAACGAATGTTATAGTATTTTATACAATATTTTTACAGTTCACTTTGAATTGGTAAAAAAAATACAAAAATATGGTATTGTGTAATATATATATAAAAGTTTCATGAAGTAGAAAGTAATTATCGACAAAATGCCACCTAATTAAAATTCGCAATTAACACACGTAAATTAATTAAATAAATCTTTGTACAGTGTAATTCGAAGCTCTTAATTTAATAATTATATTTATAACAGAAAATATTAAAAATAAATATCTTGAAAGTTTCAGAAATATAATATTAATAATTATTATTATTATAAACGTAACAAAAACGTAACGAAATTTAATACTTAGGTATAAAAAAATGAGAAGGTAATATTCTAAATTTACACGTTTTCACACTGGTGAATTATTATTCGAGTCTAATTAACCCTTTTCTATGCTGCATGAGAATTTAAATTTTTTGTACTTCGAAATTTTCATTATGTTTTTTTAAATTTATTTATTTAAAATAAAAAAAATTTATTTATTTATTAACAATATATACGAGCTGGATGCCCTTTGTATAGTAAATGAAAAATGAAACGAAAGAGAATTTTAAAAGAATTTTTTAAAAAATTTCATTGGAAACTAAATTCTTTTAAACATCTCAGTAAAAGTTTATAATTCTTATAATCAAAGATTGAAAGTGAAAAAATATTTTTCAATCTGGAAGTCCATTTTTTGTGTTTAAATTTTTTTTGTTAAAATTATTGATCTTAAAAAATTATCAAAGACAATTTTTGATTGAATGTTAAATTAAAATTACGTAAACTTAATTAATTAAATTTTTGAAGAGAAAAATTTGCCAAAAATTTTAATAGAAACATATTTTTTCATCTAAATCATTATTATTAAACATTGCAAACATCACTAACGATTTAAAATTTTTTTTTTAAATGATTCTTTAGATAAGAAACATTTCTTCAGTTGAATATTGATGAAAATTTTCTTCTTTGATTTAAAAAAATGCTGAAAGTATTTCTTACAAACAAATTAAAAATATGTCTTTTGATTTAAAAGCATTAAATATATAATTATGCTGCGAAAAAGGATTAATTAGAAACTTTTAACATTTTAATGAGTTTAACTTTATATAATTTCAAGTGTAGAGTGCTTGAATTTTTTCGCTTTTAATTGCAGTATATAAAAAAGAATTAGAAGAATATTGCTATTAACAAAAGTATATGGACTCATTTAAAATTTATAATTAAACTATTATCGTAGAATTAAACACTTGGTATACGCACACACAATTCACTATATAGAACTTTTTTTTAACACAGCAGAAATTGTCACAGAAATTAATCATTGTTATTATTTCTGTAAAAGACTGAAGATATTTTTAACATCTTGATTTGAATTTGTTTTTTTTTTTTTTTGGTGGTTCTTCATTTTTATGTTAAGTGATAACCTTATTTCTTTCCTATCCAAAACTTTGATCGGGTTGGATAAAAAGCGTAAGCGTAGACCACTGAAAAATTAAAAATTTTATTAGATATTAAATAAATTAATAATTGCGATATTAAAATTCACTTAAGTATAAAACATAATTACTGTACAACTAGCAAATGTTACGCGCGAAACGAAGAATTCGATTTCTGATTATTATGCAGATTGTAACATTATTATTTTACATTTTTGTTTTTATTTTTTATAAACAAATATTAACTTATTAACTAATTAATTATTGTTGTCTATTATTTTTAAAAATTTAAATAAAATTCTTCGCAAGAATTCGATTTTTTTTATAAAAAATAAAGTTCTTCACGAAAATTCAATTATTCAATTATCAATAATTCGATTTAATTAATAATTATTTTCAAAAATTGAAATAAAATTCTTCGTAGAAATTCAATTATTTTCTTTAAATATTAAATAATTTCGCATAAAAATTCAATTATTTAAAAGAATTTTAATAAAATTCTTCAAAAGAAATCAATTATTACTAAAATAAATAAAATTCTCGCAAGAATTCAATTATTTTTTATGAATAATAAAAATTCTTCCTCAGAATTCAATTATTTTCCATAAATAAAAAATTCATCCTCAGAATTCAATTATTTTCATAAATAATAAAATTCTTTCTCAGAATTCAAATTATTTTCATAAATAATAAAATTATTAATTCAATTATTTGCATAAATAATAACATTTGTCACAGGAATTTATTTGCTTTCAATAACATTTTAATAAAATTTTTCCAAAAAGTTTTATTAATTTTAATTTTAATTAAATTTAAAATTTAATTTTTGTAAATTTAATTGTGATTTTTCGAAAAAATTCAATTATTTTTCAAATTTTAATAAAATTGTTTGGAAGAATTTAATTATTTGCATAAATAATAACATTTTTTACAAAAAATAAGTTATTTAAAAACTTAAAATTAAAAAATTAAATTCTTGGCGAGATTTCAATTATTTTCAGAAATAAAAAAATTTTTCCCCAGAATTCAAATATTTTGATAAATAATAAAAGTTTTCATAGGAATTCCAGTATTGTCATAAAAAATAAAATTCGTCATAAGAATTTAATTATCTTCATAAATAATAAAGTTTGTCATAGGAATTTAATTGCTATCAATAACATTTTAGTAAAATTTTTCCAGAAAGTTTGATTATTTTCAATAATTTTAGTTTTAATTAAATTTAAAATTTAATTTTTGTAAATTTAATTGTGATTTTTTGAAAAAATTCAATTATTTTTCAAATTTTAATAAAATTGTTTGCAAGAATTTAATTATTTGCATAAATAATAACATTTTTTACAAAAAATAAGTTATTTAAAAACTTAAAATTAAAAAATTAAATTCTTGGCGAGATTTCAATTATTTTCAGAAATAAAAAAATTTTTCCCCAGAATTCAATTAGGTATTTTGATAAATAATAAAATTTGTCATAGGAATTCCAGTATTTTTTAATATTAATAAAATTTTCCGCAAGAATTTAATTATTTTCAGTAAAATTTTAACAAAATTTCTCAAAAGAATTTAATTATTTTTATAAATTTGAATAAAATTTTATTGAAAATAATTCAATTATTTTAAAAAATTTAATTAAAACTTTATTTAAGAATTGAATTATTTTATAGACCCAAAATTATAACATTTACGAAAATTGTAACATTTATTTTTACAAAAATGTTATTCTTTAAAATTAGGAAAAAAATATTAACTCATATTAATATAGAATTATAAAAATAAAATAATTTTCAAATATTTCTTGTAAAAATATTATCAAAAGATTTGTTCTTTAAATTTAAACTATAGTAAAAATTTCAACTAATTAGAACAATAAAAGTGATATAAAATTTCTAAAATTTAAATTTTTAATTCTACATAATTAAAATAAATAAAATGCAGTTTTTCGTATTAAAACGTATTACGATTTCTAATTCAAATCAACTTTGTTCAATTAATTTTTGTTATTATTCAATCTTTGAAACGTAAAATTGTAATTTCTTTAATTTTAAAATTCAAAACATCTAAGAGGAAACAATTATCAAGACAATTAGGAAACAAAAAAAATTAACAAAAACAACGAACTGCGAACAGAAAATTTGGAATACAATTATTATAATACCCATAGATTATTTATTACAAAATTGTAAATTACCATTATTATTTATTTACTTTTTAATTACCTATTGCATCTACAATTATTTAATTTATTGGTACACAATTATTTAATTAAATCTCTTTCCCTTCTTTTACATTATGCTCAATTTTCTTTTACTTATTGTAATTAAAAATATTTTACTTTTATATATAAAAACTCTCATAAAATTGAAATTATTAAATTATTTTTAATAACTATTTAATAACTTTTTAATAATTTTTCATAATTTTTTAATAGTTTTTTAATAATTTTTTAATAATTTTTCAATATCCTAATCAATTTGCGTTTATGGAATATTTATTTTATTATATTTTATGGAATACTTTCTCCAAAAGTAACGGATTAAATTAATTGCTCGCAATTAGAAAATATCATCTGGTTATTTAGTTTTATGTGCGTTTAATAAAAAACAAAAAAAAAAAATTGTTAATACAAGGAGGTTTCGTGAAAGTAATCTCTTCTAAATATGACGTCGCGAGTGTGAAATAATATTTACATGTAAATTAATTTATTATTACAGTTACTATGATATGGTATAATTTTGAGCAAAAAAAAAAAAAAATAAAAAATAAAATTGTTTTGATTACGAAACTCTCTCTCCATTTTGCGCTGAGAAAAATTTCTCACTTTCGCCTGCGATGGACCAAAGTGTTCTATAATAAGTTCTTTAACCGACTAATCCAATGGAGTGCGCTTGATTACTGTTTTTAAATTTTAAGACAGTTGGCAATGAAAAACGAAAGTTAAAATAAAATTACGTTCTACAACAGGTGTCACGGGCATCGAGACCGCTTTTGTTTCTATAAAGCGTCTACTTTTCGTTTTCTTTCATTTCCGTTGTCTAGGATTTTCTTTTAGAGGCGAATTTAATCTTTTTTTAATCTTTCTTCTTTGATTGTACCCAGAAAAAGCAGATTTTTCTACTATTTTTTACATTTATTTATTGTTATTTTCGATTTATTATTTAATTATTTATATATTTATTCATATGAAAATTATTAACATTCATATCAAGAATGTATTTTGCAAATTTTAAATAAAAATTTTTTTCTTTCAACTGATTGGTTTTGATTGGTTTGTAATCGAAAAGAGATTTTTTTGTGCTTGACTAAAGTTTTATTAAACTTTTTTCTCTTACTCTCTCTCTCTTTCTCTCTTTATTTACAATAAACCGGATCAATTAACAATTAAACTTTATCAAAATGTAATGTAAACTTCTTTGAGGAAAAGAATTCAATTTCTCAAATATCACAATTTACTCTGAAAAATGATGAATATTAAATTAAATGTATTAAATTTCAGATAACATCAAAAGGTTTCAATCAACAATTCAATGAAATTATGCAAATAAGTGAATTTTTAGTTTATTACTTTTTATATTTTTCTTTTAAAACTGCAAAACACTTTTAAGGATTTAAAAAATACTTTTCACTAAAATTTCCTAAAATTTCTATGCATTATGTTGCAGTTAAATGTATTTATAGTTTAACAATTGGAACAAGTAACGAAGTTACACGCTAAACTAGTTAAATAATTGAACCCTTTAAACTGTTGACTTCAATATAACTATTACCAACGTTTGCTTTCAACTCAATGCATACTTTATCGATAAAATTAGTTCTCTTTGATTAACTTTATTTCTCTGCTATTACAAAAATTAAACTTTTTTAAACGAATCGAATGAAACCAGATAATATATGTTTTACATTTAAAAAAAAATTCAAATCTTCTTTTTGCAAAAATCAATTATTACAATATGTAAAAATATATTTTTACATATTATTAATTTTTTAATTGAAAATTTTATATGGAAAAAAGTGGCAAAAAGCTGACTTATTGGCACATTTTTCTACGAATTATATAATAAAAAAAAAACAATTTTTATTTATTTATTTCATTTATAAATTTTTTCTTTTGACTTTTTTCGACTGTTTTCTAAAAATGCGACATTTTCAACTTTTTTTCTAAATATTGCATTATCATCATCATTAAAAGTATTTTTTCTTATAATTTTCGAAAATCAAATTATGAGAAATTTTAATTGTACTTAAATTTCGAAAATAATTTAATTCTCAAAAAGTTATAATGAACAATTTTCAAATGCAAACTTCGAAAATGAAAATTGTTGAAAATTAGCTTCTAAAAATTATATTAAAATATTTTTGAAAAAAGGTAATTAGAAGTTTTTTTATTATAATTTTTTAAAATTTAGTTCTTTTCAAAATATTTTTAATTACATATTTCCAAAAATACAAATATCTCTAAAAATTATCTAAAAAAAAAATTTTTATTATTATGCAAATTGCAAAATTTTTTTATTTTCATATATATAAATTTCTGAATAATTTCATAATCAAAATTCAAAAAATTCACTTATTAAGTTCATATAATCAATTATTATTGTTTACATTTTCAAAAATTTTATCATAATTCTTCGTAAGAATTCAATTATTTTTGTAAATAGTAAAATTTTGTGCAAAAACTCAATCATTTTCAAAACAAAAGTTTTATAAAAATTTCACGAAAGAATTCAATTATTTTCTGAAATTTTAATAAATCCTTCGAAACAATTCAATTATTTTTTTTATTTTTAGTACAATTTCACGAAAGAATTCAATTATTTTATAAAATTTTTAAAACTCCTTCGAAACAATTCAATTATTTTTTTTAAATAGGAAAATCTTTGCAAGAATTCAATTATTTTGGATAAAATTTCATGAAATAATTCAATTGTTTAAAAAAATTTAAGTATTTTCTAAAATGTTAATAAATTTTTGTAGGCAATTCAATTTCTTTTTTAATTTTTAATAAAATTCCACTAAAGAATTCAATTATTTTCTAAAATTTTAATAAATCCTTGGAAACAATTCAATTATTTTTTTAAATAGTAAAATTTTTGCAAGAATTCAATTATTTAGAATAAAATTTCATGAAAAAATTCAATTTTTTTTTTAATTTTAAAAAAAAATTTAAGTATTTTTTAAAATTTTAATAAATTTATGGAAACAATTCAATTATTTTTTTAAATAGTAAAATCCTTGCAAGAATTCAATTATTTGGAATAAAACTTCATGAAAAAATTCAATTTTTTTTTAAATTAAAAAAAAAAATTCAATTATTTTTTACTTTTTAATAAATTTTTTCGAAAGAATCCAATTATTTTCTAAAATTTTAATAAATCCTTGGAGACGATTCAATTAATTTTTATTTTTTAATAAAATTTTTCGAAAAAATTCAATTATTGTGAATAAAAATTCATAAAAGAATTTAATTTTTTTAAATTTTTCAAAAAAAATTTAATAAATTCTTGGAGACAATTCAATTATTTTTTACTTTTTAATAAAATTTTTCGAAAAAATGCAATTATTTTCTGAAATTTTAATAAATCCTTGAAAACAATACAAATATTTTTTAATTTTTAATAAAATTCTTTTCAGAAATTCAATTATTTTCAATACAATTAAAGAAAGTGAATTTATCATTAGGTAGTGGAATTATAATTGATAGCTTCTTTCACCTTTAATATTTTCAATACAATTTTAATAAACTTCAATAATCAAATATGTAATTATAATTATTAACTGACACGATTATTTTAAAAAGTTGAAACAAATTCTTTGTTTAATTCAATTATTTTCAAAAATTTCAATTAAAATTATATAAAACGTCCTTTTTTTGAATTTTTATTTAAATTTTAGATAAATAATAATTTTTAAAAAATTTAATTAATAGATATTTAATTTCAACTATTTTTCTTTTTTTATAGTAATAAATTATTTAGAAATTATTCAAACAGAAGAAAATTTTGATCATTTGATCGTTCAAATTTTTAGAAAAGTAGAAGAAGTCTGAAGTATACTTTGAAATTGTATAGAAAATAATTAAATTTTGGAAAGTTTACGGTTGTATTTAAATATTTATTTAACAATATTATTTAAATGTTTTTTTTCTGAATAATTAAAATTAGAAATCAGTGAAAGGAGAGAAGTCAGAGAAATAAAAAATGAAATTTTTGTTACTACAGTTAATAAAATAAAGAACTTTTTCCGATTTTTTTGGTATCTTTAATCGATTAAAACAAAACGACTTTTTTTGACGTCCTTACGCTGTAAAAAGATAAGTATAAATTTAGAACAGATTTTTGATAATAAATCTTTAATTTCTTCTATTTTAATTCCTGAAATCAGCTCTAATATTACACTTTTTTTACGGCGTCAAAGTTGATCCGAGGTCTGCATTAAATCGTTATAAAAATGAATTTTTCGTTAAACAGAATTTACATATGTTGAAAAAAGATTTTTTTCGGCATCTTCTTTCGGCATTAGGTCCAAAATTTAATATTCCGAAACCGACCCGATAATATTAAGACAATTTAAAACAATATTTCTCAAAAGAAAAGAATAAATATAATAAACAAATAAAAATAATTAACTGCTACATATAAACATTAAATCTATGTCAACGTCAAAGTCTAATCGTAAGTTACCTTAGTCTCAAATCATCAGTCTCAAATTCTATATCCTATGCAGTCCAGCGTCATTTAGAGAATATCCAACAGCCGGTTGTACCTCAAGACTCTGTGAAATTAATTTTCCCCCAAAAACATCATCGCCATATTGCTTTGTATTATCGAATGTCTCAAACATTTCCAACGGAAACGGTCCATTTCCAATATTTTGATATTCATGATAGCGCGGCTCTTTTGGCAATTCACCAAGAATCGGTATCTTCAATGATTCCTGATGACCAATTGAAATCGGTAAACCCGAAACAATTGGCTCCTTGATATCGTTCACAAACTGCTGATGAGGACCTTGATGATACTGTGGATGATCGAAGGAAAATCCACCGTCCTTCATAATTATTTGATTAAAAGTTGGTAACTTTAGAAAGTCCATTTCCGTAGTTCCAGGAAACTTATTTACACTTTTTAACTTTGCTGCCGATTGAAGGATACTTGCGAGATTAAAAATTTGTTTCTTCTTCTGTTGATTTGAGTCTTGAGCAATTGCAGCATTATTTGGTGGATAATCAATGTGAAGACTATTGCTGGGATTTGTTGGTGAAATTGGTAGGGGATCGATTTTTGGAACTTCGACATGAAACACGGAATTTTGAAGTGTCGATGATTGTTTTAGAGAATTCTTTTGATCCTTTGATACAAATGGCAAATGTGGTTTTGTTGTTGGTAGTTGTAGATCATGTTGGGGGAGGGAGTAGAAAATTTCTGGTTTGTTACTGCTGAGGATAGATGATGTTGGTGAACCTCCTCCGAAACTCTCCTCGAGTGCTTCGATATTTGGATGACGGGGATCCAGATCGGTTGAAAGGTCGTCTTGATGATGATTTGGGGACATGATCACCAGGCCAGCTTGCACATCGTCTGTAAATGTAACGTCTGTCAGGTCCTGTCGACTGTTTTTTGTTAGTAATGTATGGTAGTTGTTATTTTTTTTATTCTTCTTGTTCTTGTTGTTGTTATTTTTCGTTAATGTTACAAGTGGCGTGTAGTGAATCTTTTACTCATCAGGAACTTAATCACTTCAAAAGGAAGATTTGATACTAAATTCTCGAATTTGTGTTTTTAGCAGTTTTGGTTTTTTGTTTTTGGTACATTTAGATACTTTTAGGTATTTTTAAAAAATTATTCTTGATTGTAGTTAAAGAAAGAGTTTCATAATTAAAGAAAGAGTTTAAAGAAGTTAAAAGAAGTTTGAAGGAGTTTAAAGAAGTTAAAAGATGTTTCAAGAAGTTTAAAGAAATAGTTTCGTAAAAACTACAGATGGCGAATTTTCGGAAATTATGCAAATGAGAATTTGGCTCGTAATTTGATCCGATGTGCTAATTGTCGAGTAAATCGAATTTTGACAATCTGCATATCATTCTACAAGTAAAATTAATCTTCTCTAAATATTTTGTTTAAAAGCAAAATTATTTTCGGCATAAAGAAGAATACTCTACTAACAATAACTATCAACAAAATTTAAGAGATCTCTGCAATTAATTTGCTATTTTCGATTTTATTTCTAAAACAGAATTTATTTTTCGATGCTGCAAATTTTTTTGCTCAATTTTTTTCCCATTTTCTTCTATTTCTGTATTTCTTTTATTTCTTTTATTTAAAATTTTGAAATATTTGTAATAATTGTAATAATTTTGCAATAATTCCGTAATAATTTCTCTAAAATAGATTTTTAAATCGATTTCGATTTGATCCAGTTCATGTTTGAGTAATTTTCACTCTACCCAACCAACAATTATGGTAAATTTTTTTAAGTTTCTACAGTACATGTCCTGAAATATTAGAATATAGTTAGTTTTTGTTGTCAAGTGTTATATTATATTTAAAAAAAGTTTTGATAAAATACAAACACCATTAAAATTATTTAATTATTAATTTGGGTGGTTATTTTAAGTATCGTAAATATTAATCGGTTTATTAAAAAAAAATGAATTAGATTGACATTGGAAAAAGAGAAAAAAAAATTCAGTATCTAATTTATCATATCCGGTTGCTTGAAAGCAACAACCTCTTGGAAGAAAGGTATAGTGAACTAAATAGAAAGTTTAGTGAGGATTTCCATTCGATAGTACATTAAACGCTAAATTTAATAATGTTGAAATAGAAAAAGCACTGAATTTTGGTAAATTTGGAATAAAAAAAACGGAATATTATTTTCAATGTACAAATAAATACTGAATTCTCTGTTAAAATTTCTATTTATAATGTCTCTTCATTATAAAACGAAGCCAATAAATTGTTAACTTGTGTAAAAAGATATATAGAATTATTCGTTAGCGGAATATAAAAAAAAACAAAAAAAAACAAAAAAAACAAAAAAATTGTGATTTCAAAACTATAATAATTATTGCGAAAAATAATAAATTCGAAAAATAATAATCCCGAAAACATTAAATTCGACAAACTAGTAATTGCAAGAAAATAATAATTTTTCAAAAATAGATAGTAATTTCGAAAAAATAGTAATATTGTAAAAAAAATATTTCCGGAAAATAATAAATTTTGAAAAATAATAATTTCGATAAAAATAAATTCGACAAACAAATAAATTCGGAAAAAATAATAATTTTGAAAAATAGTGACTGTAAAAAAAATTAATATTTCTGGACAATAATAAATTCGAAAAAATGATAATTTCGAGTAAATACCTAATAATTTTGTAAAATAGTAAATTCGAAACAATAATAATTGCGAAAAATAGCATTTCCAGAAAATAATAAAGGAAAATAATAATATAAATTCGAAAAAAAATAATTTCGGAAACAATAAATTCGAAAAATAATAATATCGAAAGAATAATAATTTATTTATTATAATAATTTAAATAGAGTAAAAAAATTTGATTTAATTACATCGAATAAAAATAAAAAGGGGATTAAAAAACGACAATTAAAATAAAACATTGAGTGTAGAAAAATGTGAATACATGCAATTTATACTCTATTATCATATATTTATGCAATTTTATGACACCAATAAAGAAAGACAATAAAATATGTTTAAAGAATATAAGAGACGGAATGAAAAATATAAATAAAAAGAAAGTAATAAAAAAAATGTTAGTTCACGTCATCAGTAAATTAATGTGTGAACAAAATGAGGGACTATCATATATACATTCCTTTTATGACCTACCATATTTATCATCCCTGCTTTATATATAAGTATACTATTATGTAGAGGGAGGGTGGGTGTAAATATGAGACATGAAAATATTTTTACGGATCTAATTTTTATATTATACCTCAATTATATCACTATTATATTAACATAAATTTTATATTATTTTCACATTATTTTCAATAATTTTTTCTATTAAAAAACAATTTTCTATTATTTCCGAGAAAATTTTTATTTTTATCCCACTAATTTTTTTGTCTATTATTTGAAATTAAATAAGAGATTGTACAAAAAAATACTTTACACTATTAGGGGAGGGCGTGACGAAATTATGGAAAAAAATTTATTTTGTATTACAAAAAAATGGTGGGGGTTAAAAATTAGTCAACTAGCGTGACGTAAGTTCGAGAAACGAGACCCTTAGGCAAAATTAAAGAATTATAGTTTCTGTTTCATTTGTTTATATTGAATTTAGTGAGAAATGTAAAAATAAGTAATATAAAGTAAAATAACGATTCACTAGTTTTGAACGTTCAAATGAAGGAAATATTTTCATAAATTACTGATTGTAGTATTTAGAATTTAAATTTAAATAAATATTTGCTAATTCTATTATTAATTTATTTATTATTAATTATTTATTATACATAGTTCATGCCTGTTGGCTTTGAACGAGTTATTATTAAATTACTCAAGTAATTAATTTAATTTAATTTTATTAAATTAATTTTTAATAAAAATTAATTTAGTAAATAATAATTTAAATAAAATTAAATTAAATAAAAATATTGAAAAACTTTATAATTAATTTTCTTGCGATAATTACGCAAAATTATCGTAATAAAAAACGAATTTGTAGAAGAAATAAATAAAAATCGTTTATTTGAACATTCAGAACTAGGAATTGTGAAAATGAATAATAAATAAAGTAAATAATGAAGTAAAATAATAATAAAAATAAATAATAGTAATAAATAGTAAATACCTATAATTCTCAAAAATTTAACTTTAAAAGAATTAACATTTTAACTATAAAGAAAATTTTTTATATGAGATGAGAAACATTTAAATATAACAAAGCAAAATGGAATTATTTTATTTTAGATTGAACGAATGTCAAATTGTATTCTCTTTTGTTTCGGTATAAATAAATTTCTCTTATTTTACTTATAATTTTACCTAATTATTAAATTTAATTTATTCCGAAAATATCTGTTTGAATAAATTGAAATTTTCATACAATTTCAACAATAATGAAGAAATTTTTTTTTAATTTTTCTCAAAAATTCTGTTAGTGAATTTTGTGTAATTTGAATTATTATTAATGAATCTGAAACTGGCACCCAATTTTGGAAATTAAATTTTAAAGTTAAATATTTTTTTTTACGAAGCTGAAAATTACCCACGCACTTAATTTTTCAAAATTTAATGTTGGTTTTAAATAAAGAAATTTAAAAAATATTAAAAATTTAATTTCCATACGGAAAAAACGAATAATAAAGTAACTTTTACTATACTTTGAAAATAAAATAAAAACCTTTATTCGTTTTTTCTCGTGAAAATTAAGTGGGTGCCAGTTTCAACTTAATTACTATTATTGTTATTATTATTATTTTTTTCATTATACTATTAATTATTACTATTATTGTTATTATGATTTTTATTATTCCTATTATTACCATTAATATTTGTTTTGAATATAATTAACTAATTTTGAAAATTTCATAAGAAATAAAGTGCATACCATCGGATGCTGCTCCAAAATTATTTTGAGGATGATAACTGTCCTCGAATGCAGCAGATGAATAATCATGGGAGCTTGGGGGTGATCCCTCGTAAGATTCCTCGTGACCTGGTTTAAAAAAATACCATAGAAATATTAAAATTGCATTGAAAAAATATTTATCAACCTATTTTATACGTAAAATATACAATGCACGTGTTTTCATTCATCTCAATAATTTTTCATTTTTTCAACATAAAACATTTAATTTGCAGTTCAATTTTCAATATATATTATTCAATAAATTGCTTGTCAGTTTTTATATGTATATACGAAAATATAAATTATGAGAGTAAATTGTTTTCCCCTAGGATAAATATTTCATTCAATTATTAAAAATTCCATCATTGAAAATGAAGTGTAAGGATGAATATTTTACACATTTGCAGTTATTGAAAATTTTCCTTCCTCTATTGAAAAATTGAAGTTTAAAATAAACATAAATGCGTTCTGATAAATTATTTTATACAATCCTTCTTCTATGAGGAAGCAAAATTGAAAAAATTCTTTGTTTAATACAATTATTTTCCAAATGTTAAATTAAAATTATTAAAAAAAAACATTATTTTTAAAATATTTAAAGAAACTCGTCAAAAGAATTTAATTATTCATAAAAACTCTGATAACAATTTTTGAAGACATTTGTAGATTTATTTATGTTAGAAATCAAATAAATTTAAATTTGATGAGAAAAAAAAAAACGTGAAAAATTAGGAGAAAGCCGGGAAATAACCGCAGGAATTTTGTTGAACGAAAATAGTATAGACACTCCGATTTAAAACAAAAAGTTTTTGCAAAAAAAAAAAAAAAAATGCTGGAATATCAGAGTCGATGCGATTTTTACACAGAGCTTCAATGAAAAAATGATATCGATTTTGACATCCCCTTAAGAATATAGATTGGAACTAATAATACTTTGGAAAAAATGCCCTTTGGGAAAAAAGAACTTTTTGGAACTTTTGACTTCCTACAAAAATATAAAGACTCTGAAGTTAGCATCAACGCTGAGTGTCGAAAAGAATTTTTTCCTAAAATCGAAAGGAATAAAACAATTTTTTCCAAGTTTTTAAGTTAAAAAAGTAATTTTTGAACTTTGGCAAAGTTTTCAACTCCCTAGATGAATAAAAGAGGTGAAATCAGTAATATTTTGATCTTTGAAAAACCTCGAATAATATAATTTTTGACGCTAACTTCAGGGACATAAACTATAAATTATCAACATTAAAAATATGTAATTTTGTTTGTTAGTTTATTTTTACAATAAAAACAATTTTACGGAACATTTAAATTATTTTCTTGATATAATTATAAAAAAAAAATGTCGGTGTATCTTTTAAATTCTAATAAATAGCATAACAAAATGTGACTTACTGAAAGTTTGACCCGATGGCGGACTATAGGCGTATCCACTTTGGGTGTAAACTGGTTTCGGTGCAACCACATAAGTACTACTTGCAATGTTACGGCCTAAATTTGAAATCGCCTCTCCTGTACTGCTAATAAGACGACCCTTGGTCGATATAAGGAATCCACCGCCTTTGATTAATTGTCCCTTTAAAGCCAGTACACCACCTCCAATTGCTTTAATTGCTTGGAAAACTGTATTTAGAATGGCTTTCTTGAAGTCCCAGGCATTGAACGATTGGTGCTCGTACTTATTGCGGAAAATTAAAAACAATTGTTAGAAATTCGAAATGAAATTCATTTGTATCATTTTATGCATTTCATGAATTTTATTTCCTTTATTTTATATTTATTTCAGTTTTTTTAAGTTTATCAAATTGAGACAAAAAAAGTATCAAAATTGTTGCGAACAAAAAATTATCGCAACAATTTTGATACTTTTTTTGTCTCCATTTGATAAACTTAGAAAAACTGTGAATTATTAATATATATTATTACGTACTTCGTGCCTTTTGGCTTTGAACTATTTTATTTTTTCTCTCTAATAAATTGACAAATGTTTTTCAACGAGAATTATAAAAAAGCTTTCCTTCTTTTAATTGTGACTTGGTTTTTCCATTGCTAAAGCTGTAATTGTTATTTTGCAATTGTCTATTTGTAGAGTGAATCTGCTTGCAAGGTAAGCAAGCTGGAAAGGATAAAAAAAAACTTGCACGGATTTCCCTCCATAATCGCAAATGTTTCTACATAGATATATATATACAAACAGAGAATGTAGAGCATGATCTAAAAAAGGCAATAGTATATCTTTGCTTTGTATTTTTTCTGTCATGCAAAAAATGACAAGGTAAAAAAAATTCTTCTTTTTCAATCATCACTAATTCCAGTTTTGTTTACATGATCATAATGATAATTCTCAGCAGGAAATAATAATTATAAATTCTATGATCTTATTATGTGTGTCACTAAATTTACATCATGCTGATTGGCAAATAGTTTGCAAACATCAGCTTCCTGCAAATTTAAATAAGAAGTTGAATTGAAAATTTGGTTGGGGAAACAAAATCTTTGTTGCTGGAAACATTTTTTTTTATTCTTGATGAGATGAAGCGAAATTACCTGCTGTATATTATTAACAGAAAATTGTAAATTTGTAACGGATTAGAAAAACTAAATACTAAATGTTGACTTAATTGAATATCATCAATATTTGTTTTTATAGAAAAATGTCAAATAGCACCTTGTAATACAGTTACTAGTGTATCATAACGGTGGTGTTGTTGGACTGTTATTAAATAATGCGACAGTTTATTCTATAGGTGTGGAAGTATTTAATGGCAAAAAAATTCGGTTTTTTGATGTCAACCGAAAAATGATACCCAAAAAGACCGAAATTTTTAAAGAAAAAGAAAGAAGAACAGAAGAACAGAAACCAAAAAATAAATTTGCCTGTTACCGTAAACAAATACAGACTTTGCACTCGATAATTAGTTTTAAAAAAAGTAGCAAAAAGTAGCTATCGAAAAATTAAACTTGACGACCAAAAAAACTCGTTTTAGACACTTTACAAAACAGACAAAAATTTAATTCTATATTTTATTTTTTCCTGACTTTTTCCTAATTTTCATCAAAGTACTTCTTTCTTATCCTGATGCTAATAAATTGAATTCCTGCAACGAATTTTATATATTATTCGTGAAAGAATTTAAATATTTATAAAAATAATTTAATTCTTGCGAAGAATTTTACAAAAATTTTTCAATAATTGATTTCTTTCGACTAATTTTATGCAAATTCTAATTTAAGTAATTGAATTTCTATGAGAAATTTTTATTATTCATGAAAAGAATAATTGAATTCTTGGGAAAAATTTTATTAAAATCTAAAAGAATAATGGTGTTATTTCAAAAATATTTAATTAAAATTGTCTGTAAAAGAATTGATTTCTTTCGAACAATTTTATTAAAGTATTTGAAAATAATTGAATTTCTATGAAAAATTCTAATATTTTGGTAAATATTTGAATTCTTCCAGAGAATTAAAAAAAAATTTTTTTAATAATTGATTTTTTCGAGGAATTGAAATTATATTTTTTAAGAATAATAACATTTTTTGAGCAATTCCTGTAAAAATTGTATTACAAATAATTGAAATCCTGCGATGAATTTTATTATTTATGGGAATAATTAAATAGTTGCTAAGAATTTTATTAAAATTTTGAAAAATAATTGAATTCCTGAGAAGAATTTTATTATTTATGAAAATTTATTTATTTGTTTAGTATATAAACGGGAACTTTTTTGTTATTTATCTTTAATAATTGAATTCTTTCCAAGAATTATATATATGTAAATAATTGAATTGTTGGGAAAATTTTTATTAAAATCTAAAAGAATAATTTTGATTTACTTCAAAAAAATTTAATTAAAATTGTATTTAAAATAATTGATTTCTTTCGAACATTTGTATTAAAATATTTGTAAATAATTGAATTCTTGTGAGAAATTCTAATATTTTTGTAAAAAATTGAATTTTTCCAAAGAATTTTAAAAGAACATTTTTTTTAAATAATTGATTTTTTCGAGTAATTGAAATTAAATTTTTAAAAATAATTATACATTTTTTGAGCAATTCCTGTAAAATTGTATTAAAAATAATTGAAATCCTGCGATCCTGCTATTTCTAAAATAATTGAATTCCTGAGAAGAATTTTATTATTTTTGATAATAATTGAATTATTGCTAACAATTTTATTAAAATGTTTAAAAAGAATTGAATTTCTGTGAAAATTTTGTTATTTTTGAAAACAAACATCATACGAATTTTTTAAAATGGTTTAAAATTAAAAATTCTTGGATGAATTTTATTAATTATAAAATTATAATTGAATTCTTGCTTACAATTTTTATGAAAATTTTTTTAAAGAAATTGAATTTCCATGAAAAATATTATTAGTGAAAGTAATTGAATTATTGTGAAGAATAGTATAAAAATTTTGTTAAATAGTTGATTTTTTTCGAAATTTTTTTGAAAATGCTATACTCTAAATTAATTGAATTTTGGATGAATTTTATCAATTTTTTTTTAAATAATTGTATTCTTTTGCGAAATTTTATGATGATGAGTGCGAAGTCTGCAAATATTGAAATCAAAATAGCGGATAAGATTAGCATAGAGTAAAGTAACGAATCTGTTATACTTATGTTCTGTTTCTTTCTTTTTTCTCTTTTTCCGTTTTGTTTCCCTTTGTTTTCTCTTCGTTTGCTTTGATCCGTTGGGTTTACAATTGTAATGAATTCATGTCGAATCACTCTAACAGAAAATATGGAAATAATATACTCACCGAATAAACCGGTGGTCCATAAGCAGTCGTGCCATGGGTATGAGATGAATCAGACGAACTTGATGAACCCTTGGAAAGTCCGGAGGAAGCACCGGCAATGCCGCCAATAACTTTGGAAGCAATGCCGGAAATGAAACTTCCCGAATTTGATCCGGAACGTTTGATTCTTTCTTCTTGAAATAAATCGAAATTCGCATCTTGAAGGGAATTCGGATTTGCATCAAGTACAACATTTCGTTTATCAAGTTGAAATCCCGACGGTTCTTTCATTCCATTATTGTTATTATTATTATTATTGCTACCAAGTATCTGTAGTAGTTGAAGAGGAAATCGATATTCATCTAATTTTTCATTACTCCCTTTCTCTTTATCACGATTTCTCGTTTTATTGGAATGATAAAAAAAATTATTTCTAGATGCATCCAAATCGTTGGTTGAAAATTTTCTAGCATTTCGAAATGGTTGCAGTCTTTCCAATTGTGCTGCTGCCGATTCTAATAATTCTTCCTTCGTGTTCTTCTCATTTAATGACCTCGCACTCGTGCATGTCAGTGTCAACAGTAAAGCAATCTGCAATAATGAAACATTTGTTATTCTTTTCTGAAAATTTCAAATTAATTTTTCCATATTTTCAAAAATTATATTAATTGTATAATCAAAAACAAATGAAATATTGTTGAACTTTTTAACAAGTCAGGAAAAAAGTGAAAATCAGAGCAAACAAAATAAAATGTTTGTGGCAACTATGTTTAGGAACTAAAAAATATATGAAATTTATAATTGGAGGAAAAATGAACAACTATAAATTGTTGATAAAATATTGAGATTGGCAATTATGTTATAAGGTCATTTAATCATATGATGATCATTATATTGATATATGTCGGAAATAAACATATGATGAGTATGGATATAATTTCTTTAAAGTTGTAGCATAAACACTTAACTGCGTTTAAAACAAGTGGAGCAAAACTGGTGAAAGTTAAAGACAAAATAAAATAAAATCATACATAAGCTTCTATATTTTGCGACAAAGGACGATTCTAGTCTGCTCACATGGTTTCATACATTAAAGCATTTTTTTTTTCTTCATACATGAATGAACAAAAAGCGAGATTAAAAATCAGAAATGCAGAAAGTCTTTCAGAGGAAAAAATAAACTTTATGTAATTTTATAAAAGCTTTGAATCAACATTTTCATTTATACACTCTTTTTTATACGTTTAAAATTATTAAATTGCATTAAAAAATTTTTAAATTATCAAAAATACTTCAAAAATTATCAAATTACTTCAAAAATGATCAAAATAAATAAAAAATGAATAAATTAGATTAAAAAATACCAAAGTACGTTAAAAATTATACTTGAAAGAAAGGAATAGTAATTATCTAATTATAAAGCAAAATTAAAAAATAGAAACAAATTAATGAAAGTTTAATATTACGACAGTCATGATTAATTTCCATTTCATTCGTTAATTAAGGTGTAATTTTTTCCCTACACACTATATAAATATTATGTTAATTAATCTGATTATAATTCATGTACAAACATGAATATAAATATTGTAATTATTATTTTATTGATAGATTGGTGAATAATGTAGAAAAAAAAAGAAAATTTTAATGAGAATTTAATTCATCGATAAAATTCTGTTTCCTTTAACTTTCATTTATAAAAGAGGAAAGGTTCATAGCTCATGAAACGAAAGTCATTGCTCAAAGCGTCCTTGATCTTGTACCTCGAGTTCGAGACACGTGACCCAAATCCTTTCTCAAGGCTCTAAAGAGAAATTTTTATTATACACTTTTCTCAAAATTACAAAATCGAATAATATATTTAACGTCGCCAAATATGTACAATGGAAAGTGAAACTATTTATTTTTTTTATTAGTGAAACAGTTAGTTTATATTTGTATTCAAAGCGGGTAAATATTTTTCTAAGGCAACAATGGCGATAACGGTCTTGTAACGATAATATTTAATTTTAACTTAAAATCTGAAGATTCTTCTAAATGTAAAATATTTTTACGTCAAAAAAATCCACTTCCCTAAATATGAATTTTACTTTATATATTTTTAATTATTTGGTTTTTATATTAATTCTTTTTATTATTTATATATAATAATCTTGAATCTATCAATATAGGAAAAAAACATTTCACCTGGAATAGATATAAGTTTTTCTAGAATAGCGAAAGTATTAAAAAATGAACTAAAAAATTCGCTAATAAATAAAAAATTTTTTAGATTTTTCAGATCAAATTCAAAGGAAAAAAGGAAAAATTTGAGTCAAAAAAATGTTCTGTTACATTTATTTACAAATTTCTTTCGAATTTTTCGAAAACATCAATAACTTTTTTTTAAATAAATATTTAATTATTATTTTTTCATATAGGAATTAAATTTCTTCAAAAGATTCAAATTCAAACCTTTTTGAAATTAAACAAGTTATAAAAAAATTGTTATGAAACATAAAGTCTTCATGTTTTATAATAATTAAAGATGACTGAGTGATAAAATCATTATTTTATATTATAAGATTTTATAAAAAAAAAAAATTTTAATTATTTTTTATGAAAATAATTGAATTATTGGGAACAAATTTATAAAACATTAGTAAGTAATTGAATTTTGCAGAAGAATGTACGAAGTTGAAGTCCACAACGTTTATCAACGAAAAAAAATTTATTTAATGCATTCAAGTATTATTTTTAATTTAATTTTTAAATGTAAAATAATTATTATCAAAATATAAACATCAATCATTTTTTTCTAAATATTTTTGTGTCAATATTTATGCGTCATTTTTAATTAATTTATTAAAAGTGAACAATTTTTTTTCGTTGATCAACGTTGTCGACTTCAACTGGGTATAAAAGTTGATATTTACAAAGAGAATTTAAAAAAAAATTTTGAAAATAATTGAATTTCTGAGAAGAATTTTCTTACTTTTGAAGATAATTGAATTTTGCAAAAAATTTTATCAGAACTTTTAAAAATAATTAAATTTCCAGGATGAATTTTATTATTTATGAAGATAATAAAAATTTTAATGAGAAAATTAAAAAAAATTTTGAAAATTATTTAATTTCTGCGAAGAATTTTATTACTTTTGAAAATAATTGAATTTCTAGGATAAATTTTATTATTTATAAAGATAATTGAAAATTTGACAAGAATTTTATTAAAATTCTTTGCAAATAATTGAATTTCAGAGAAGAATTTTATTACTTTTGAAAATAATTGAATTCCTGTGAATAATTTTATTCATTTTGGCAAAAATAATTAAATTTCTGTGGAGAATTTTATTGAAAGTTATGAAAGTAATTGAATTCTTGCAAAAATTTTGATTAATATTTGAAAAAAAATTTATTTACCGTAAAAAATTCAATTGAATTTTGAAAATAATTGAATTTTTGCGAAGAATTTTATTAAAATTCCTTAATAAAATAATTCTACTTCCGCGAAGAAAACTTTGTATTGAAAACAATTCAATTCTTATCATTAATTTAATCAAAATTTTTCAAAATAATTGAATTTCTTGAGAAGAATTTTAGTAATAATTGAAAATAATTGAATTCTTACGATAAATTTGAAGAATTTTCGAATTCCTGTGAAGAATTTTATTAATTTATAAAAAAAAAATTACTGTCAAGAATTTTAAAGTTTTTAAAAATAATTGAATTCTTGTAAACAATTTTATTAATTTTAAAAAATAATTTAATTCCTGTGAATAATTTTATTAATTTTGGCAGATAATTGAATTTCTGCATAAAATTTTTTTAAACATTTTGAAAATAATTGAATTATTACAAATATTTTTATTTATATTTGAAAATAATTGAATTCATAAGAATTTTATTTAAAATTTGTGAAAATAATTGAATTTTTTGCGAAGAATTTTATTACTTTTGAAGATAATTGAATTTCTGCGAAGAATTTTCATTACTTTTGAAAATAATTGAATTTCAGAGAAGAATTTTATAATTCATAAAGATAATTGAAATTTTGACAAGAATTTTATTAAAATTTTTGTTAAATAATTGAATTTCGGAGAAGAATTTTATTATTCAAAAAAATAATTGACATTTTAAAGAGAATTTTTTTAAAAAAATGTTAAAAATACCTAATTAAAATTTTGCTATGAATTTTATTTAATTTTTTAATTAATAATTAATAAATTAATAATTTATGAAAATAATTGAACTTTGGAGAAGAATTTTGTTATTTATAAAGATAATTGGGATTTTTACGAGAATTTTTTTCAAATTTTAAACATATAGTTAAATTTTATACAAATTTTATTTTTTTTGAAAATAATTGAATTTCTGCAATTATTTGTAATTTCTTCAAAATTGAATTTTTTTATAGTGTTTTCAACAAAAATTTAAATTAGAAAATTTTGAAATTCTATTATTTTTAAAATTGCTAATTTTATTTAAAAAAAGTGCAGTAAGTAGTTAGCCGCGCGAATTGTTGCTAATAATATTTATAATTAATCATATTTTTTTATAAAATAATTTTTTTTCTGTATAAATATTTTCAAAAATTACTATTTATTGAGCTGAAAAATAATGAAGGAAAATAAAAGTACTAAATAAATAAACTAATTTTTAGTAAAATGTTAATTTCACTAAAAATATAATTAATTTTACTAGTAAAAAAAAAAAATAATTACCTATAAATAAAATAAAGAAAAAAATAAAAATACTAAATAAATAAACTAATGAATTATTTTTAAGTAAAATATTAATTTTAAACAAAATTAGTGAATATTCGTACTATTGTGAATTAGTTTAATTAGTGACCCAGTTTTCACTATATATAATTCAAAATTGGAAATTACATATTATTGTTACAAATATTGAGAAATGGGAAAATTTCACAATTCTCGCAATTACGAGATCCAAACTAAACAATGGTTCAATTTTCGTTTTCAAATTTAAAAAAGAGAATTTTTTGGAAAATTTTAATTTACGATGTAGTAAAGAATTTTTTTCGATTTTAGAGAAACTTTCTTCTTTTTGGGCGAAAGTGGACTAATCATCGATATATGTAAATGACAAAAGAAGTGATGCAACGTTTGAAAGACTTCCGGATCTACATCTCTCTCTCTCTCTTTCTTCGTTTTTTTATTTTTATATTATTAAATATAATAGCAGAGAAGATTGTTTGTTAAAAATGAAAAAAAAAATGAATAGACTAATTTTTTTCCTTCCCATTGTCATTATCAATATAATGAAGAAACAGAGTAAATTTGCGGTGTCGAGTGTAATTAAAGTAATAATTCTTTATTCAATGTGTGAGAAATTTGCACAAAAAATCACAGTCATAGCAATAAGGAAGAAAGGTTACGGGCAGATGAATGTATAACTTTCACGTACAAAAGGCGATCATGTTGACGCATTTTGCTCTTGAATGTCGTTTATAAATGTATTAAAATATAACATTCATTTTGAAAATAAATAAAAGAAAATTGATTTTGCGGTTAAAAAGTTGTATATTTTCAATTTCACGCACGTTAGTTAATCAACTAGTTTTTTGATAGGGTAAAAGAAATAAAAATATACGAAAAATTCTCTCTACAATTTCTCCACGTAATTTTCATATATCGAAAGTTGTTGCAAAACAGGTTGTGAATTAATTAGTTTATAAATTTATATTCAATTAGTATTCCAAAAGACTTTGTCTTCTTAATTAATTCACGAAATTTCTATTTTATCGTAATTTATTGCAAAATTTGGTAAAATTTTAATCATTTTTTTTTTCATTGTAGTTTCATGATTTTTTCTCCAGTTTATAAATTTTCAGGTTTTTGTTTACCAAAAATTTAATTTTTAGTGAAATTTTCCCATTCTTTTGTGTAAATTTATAAATTATTTACTTTTTGTTTTTACTTTATGTTTCAATTTTATTTATTTTTAATAAAAATAATTTCTTTTGGAAAAAAAATAAATTTTGCCTTGAATTTTTTCTCCATTTCCGCAGCGAAGATGGAAAAAGTGTTAAAAAAGTGACAACAGCGGAAGGAAAAGTATAATTTTCTCCAAAATGTTGTTTTTTTTGTTGTGGGGTGTTGTTTTAATCCTCAAGTTTTTTTTTTTGAAACACTTCACTCACGATTTAAAATGCACATTTGTCGATGATTAAACGTGTGTTCATGAAACATCATGGTAAACTTTCGCAGATCAGTTGAAACCTCTGAGCACTCTCACTGAACTCACTGACTGTCGCTAAAGACTATTTCCTCTCACTATATACCGGTTCCCACTCTTTGAAAATATAAAATCACGTGCGGCTTTAAATGATTTAATCGAAAAAGATTTTTTTTTTTTTTCACCGAAAAATGGGATAAAATCCGAAGATGAAATTGAAATTAACGCGTGTAATTTTTCATTAAAGTTGCGACTAAAGGGGATAATTACAATAGCTAATCGAAATAATTAGTTTGTAATACAATTTATTCTTAAACCAACTTTCAGGATGATAATCTTGAAAGTTGGTTTAAATGGATTTGTTTTAAATTTGAAAATTTTTTATTGTAAAAAGTTTTATGTTTGAAAATTTTTTTATGCAGAAAAGAAGAATTAGGCTGTTTTTTTACTATTTTTACTACTAAAAAACTTAATTGTCAGGAATTTTTATGCCTTTTTGGTAAATTTTACTATTTTCGGAGTGAAAGTTGTGTTCAAAGTACTTTTTTTTGTAAAAATTAGTAAAATTAGTATATTTTTTTTTTTCGTTATTTTACTTATAGGTATTTTGTCCTATTGTTTTACTGGTAAAATTAATTATATTTTTAGTGAAATTAACATTTTACTAAAAATTAGTTTATTCGTTTATTTATTTAGTATTTTTATTTTCCTTCATTATTTTTCAGTTCAATGAATAGTAATTTTTGAAAATATTTAAATACAGAAAAAAAATTATTTTATAAAAAAATATAATTTTAAATATTATTAGGTACTATTTTAATTAAAAAAATAATTCTTAACCAAGTAAATGTTTACATTACTTTGCAATTCAATAAAATAGTAATTTTTGAAAATATTTATACAGAAGATAAAATTCTGTTCATTTAAAAGTTCAAAATTGTAGTGTACACATTAATTTCTATTTAATTTTTTTGTCTTTTATTTCTCATTACTTTTTTCATTTACTTATTACTTTTTTTACGTATAGTAAAATTATAAATTTTTTTTACTAGGGATTGTAAATATAATTTCTTTTTTTACTAATTTTAATATTGACGATTATTATAATTATTAAATTATAATTATATTGATAGATTCAGGATTGTTAAATATTACTAAATAAACAATAATAAACAACATTCAAAGTTAAAAAAAAATAATAAGTTAAAAAAAACATTCGTTAATTCTATTTGTCAATTACAAATTTTAATCGAAAATGAAACTGAAAATTTTTGAATTGTTAAAAAATAAATTATTAATCCTTTTAAATAAATATTCAATCATTATTATTTTTCCATGGGAAGAAAATTAACATTTACAAAAAGTACAGAGTAAAAAAAACATATTTTTTTTTATTATAAAATATGATGATTCAATCATATAAAATATTATTGAAAATGGCTCATTTTTTACTAAATTTAATATTGACGATTATTATAATTATTAAATTACAATTTTATTGACAGATTTGCGGTATTATTAGAGATTACTAAATAAAGAATAAAAATAGTAAATAAAATTATTATAATTTATTTATTATTATTAATGCATAATATTCTGTTCTCCTTTTGCTTCATTTCGTTTGTGAGAGAATTTTCATGACATCTAGGCGGCAATTTCATGAACTAATTTGGCGCGAAGTTCAAAAAAAGAAAATTTAATTATATTAATATTGGTAAAATATAATTAATTAGTATTTGTATAAAAAACAATTATATATAAATTTTTACCTAATATTTAATAGAATTAGTGCAGAAATTCTATTTTGTTTTAGAAAAATTTTTCTAGAATTTATTTGATTGGGATAGTCAATAGCTTAATTTTTACTAATTATAATAGTGATGTTTATGATTACATAATAAATTTTAAAAATAATAGAATTTAAAAATTTGTATTTCAAATTTTTGTTGAAAACACTAAAAAAACTCCAATTTTGAAAAAATTACAAATAATTGCTGAAAATCAATTATTTTCAAGAGTGATAAAATTCTTCTCATAAAATTCAATTATCTTTCAAATTTAAAAAAAATTCTAGTCAAAATCACAATTATCTTTATAAATAACAAAATTCTTCACCAAAGTTCAATTATTTTCAAATAAGGTTCAAATTCCCAAAAATAGTACGCAAACATTTAATTATTTTCATAAATAATAAAAATTTGACAGGAATTCAATTATTTAAATATTTTTTTATAAATTCCTTCGCAATAATTCAATTATTTTTATAAATAGGTAATAAAATTTTTTTAAGGAATTCAATTATTTTCATAAAAAATAATTAAAAATTGTAGAAAATAATAATTGATTTGAAAAAATAATTTTGAAAAAGTTACTGTAGGAATAATATTCTTATAATATAAAAAAAAAATAATTTTATCACTCGGTCATCTTTAAATATTATAAAACATGAAGAAATCGTTCACTCCGAGGTCCGAGTCTTCGACTCGGAGCAATCGCCATCTTCATGTTTTATAAAAATATTCTTATGAGTTATTGAATTTAAAAAGATTTGAATTTCAAATTTTTTAAATTCTTAATTCCTATGGAAAAATAATATTAATTAAATATTTATTTAAAAAAAAAGTTACTGGTGTTTTCGAATAATTTTATAATTAAAGAAATTCGTAAATGAATGTAACAGAACATTTTTTTGAGTAAAATTTTTTCCTTTATTTTCTAAAAATTAAAAAAGTTTGAATTTCATTTTCAATTAAAATTTGTAATTGACAAATAGAATAGAATATGTAATGTTTCTTCTCCAAAAGAAAAGAATGAGTTTCTGAACAATATTGTTATTGAGAAATATAAATTATGCATAAAATATTTCCTATTTGTTAATTATATTTTTTTAACAATTAACAATTTTCTTATATTTTTTATAAATGAAAAGGAGAAAAATTTGCATAATTTAGATCAGTCAAACAAAATTTGTTATAGAAAAAAGCATATAATAAACAAAATTTATTTGTTAATCATAATATTTTTTTATATTTTCTAATTTCAAATATTGTTTTATTATAAATCATGAAAAAATAACTGCATATTTCGATCTGTCAAACAATATTTTTTAAAGAAAAAAAAACAAAAACATACACAAAAACTAACTAACTAATTAATATTTTTTTAGAGAATTTCCACTACTTTTAATTCGCTAATTTTCAAAAAAAATTCGAAAAAATCAATTATTTAACAAAATTTTTTGCTATTTATTTTTCATAATAATTCAATTACTTTCACTAATAATAAAATTTTTCATGAAAATTCAATTTTTAAAAAAAATTTTTGATTAAATTCTAATCATGAATTTAATTATTTTCATAAACAATAAAACTCATCGAAGAATTTTAATTATTTTTAATACTATTTTAAATTATAATAATAAAAAAATTCAGTTATTTTCACAAATAAAGTTTTCCACAAGAATTCAATTATTAAACTAATAAAATTTTCATAATATTCATATATTATATTTCCAAATAATTAATTATTTAAAACAATGTTTATGAAATTCTTATGAAGAATTCAATTATTTTCAAAAATAAACAAGATTTTCGACAGAAATTCAATTCTTTTTAAACATTTTAATAAACTTTTCCGCAATAATAAATTCAATTATTTTCAAAAATAATAAAAATTCTCTGTAATTCAATTATTTTTGAGAATTATAATAAAATTCCTGGCAACTATTCAATTATTTTCAATATTTTGATAAATATATAATATTCATCACAATAATTCAATTATTCTTAAAAGTAATAAATTTCTTCTTGAAAATTCCATTATTTTAAAAAATTCTAATAAATCGTTCGCAAGAATTCAATTATTTTAAAAAAAAATGTAATAAAATTTCCCACAGACATTCAATTATTGACAAATTTCTTAATAGAATTCTTTGTAAAATTTAATTATCTTTAAAAACTTTTCGCAATTCGATGATTTTCAATATACTATTTTCATAAAATTTCCAAACAGAATTCAATTTATTTCAAAAATTTGTTGTAAAAATCTTTATAAGAATTCAATTCTTTTCATGAATAATAAAAATTTTCATCAATTCAATTATTTAAATTAGAATTTGCATAACATTATTCGAAAGGAATTAATTATTTAAAAATTTTTATAAAATTCTTCGCAAGAATTAAATTATTTTATTAAATATTTAAATTCTTTCATGAATAATATAAAATTCGTTGCAGGAATTCAATTTATTATCAGGATAAGAAAAATGTAAATATTTTTGATAAAAATTAGGAAAAAGTAAGGAAAATAAAAAATATGGAATGAAATTTTTGTCAATTTTGTGAAGTAAATAAAACGAGTTTTTTTTGGGGTTTTTTTTGACATTAAAAAAAATGACAATAACCCACAAAAATTAATTTTCAAAACAAACAAATGATTGCAGAAAATTTGCTAACGTAAAGGAAACTTACGATTATTATAAAGTATTTATTGTTAAAATATTTATTTTTAATAAAAAGTCGTCAGTCTTTTGACTTAAAATAAATATTTTAAAAATTCGAATTTATACGGATTTTTGCACATCCGCATCGGATGTGGTGCCAATCATTCTGGATAATTGGAATTCTACAGCAAAAAGAAAATCTTCCTGAAAAGCAAGTATCGATGCTTGATAGAGATATACTCGAGCAAAACTCATTAGACGCTATTAAATGCTCTTGATAATCGCGTCTTTTGTGGCATATGACAAGAATATAAATTGCTTTTGAAATTCTTAATGCAAAGCATTGTTTGAAGCTTAAAATGAAAGTGCGCGGGTGAAATGTCGCTCATATGTATTCGGTAAAAGAAATTCTCTTTTTCATTTTATCTTCTTTATTAAATCTCATTCGTAGGCCAAGTAAATTTTCTCTTTTATTTTTATATACAACAGACAAAAAAATGAACTTACACAAAATTTTTATATTCTCATTATTCGCATTTTCTTTTAACCATTTTTTGTGCTTCGAGAATTTTTATCAAACATTTCTATTTTATTATTCATATGAACAGGTATGACAAAAAATAGAA